GTGCCCCTGAACCTCTGATACATATATACGGATCCATATATTGATATTCATATCCTGCAGTGAATATCCACCTGCAGGGATCCAGGACTGAAGCTCGGGCTACCAGTCTGGCAAGGAGGCATTGATGAGCATCTCTGGGCTCCAGGCTTAGGACAAGGCTGATCTCTCCTGTTGGCTTTAGAGAGCTCCATCGAGGTCTCCACAGTGCTGCAGTCTGGGAACATGAGACAAAGGCACACCGGGTTTCCAATGTGTATGAACTACCTGTAGCACCACCCGCAGTCAGGACAGCTGGGCTCCTTACCATTTGTGTGCATGTTTCCTGGTGCTGCCACTAACCAGCACCCAGGACTCAAGTCAGGGACAGTGATCTAGATATTGCAGCTTTGTTCTCTCAGAGGCAGCCCACAGAGGGAGCCTTAGCAACAGCACATTGTCAGACTGCCTCGAAACAATCAGAAAGCCTTTGATTCCAGGAACAGGCTACTCTGGTGACAGACCCAAGATGGGTCAGGGAAGGCAGGGACAGACTCCGGCTGGGTCTGTCTCAGGCACATGCACTAATGCAGAGGTCTAATCATCCTTATTGTCTCCTGAACACCCACTCTGTGCCAGGCTAGGGGGAGGGCTCAGGACAGAGAGTTACCAAGACAGACAAGGTTCCTGTCTTCACAGGGCTGACACCAAACTGAGGAGTGAGGGTCAAGAAGTCAATGGGAGTAAGGCATATTGTGGTGTATCAAAGAGGTGACACTGGCCAGAAGGGGGAGAACAATAGGACACCATTAGTGGGTTGTAAACAAGGAAGACACAGCCTTTTGTTTGTGATTTAGAAGGAAAGTCCAGCTTCTCCAAGGAAGATAAAAAATGAGGGGATAGTGTGAAGGCAAAAGGTCCAGTTAGAAATCAGTGGCGTTTTGCACATGCATTGAGGCATTTAGCATCTGATGTAGCAGCTGACCTGGGAGGAATGTGCATGACCCACACCATGGTGAGAAGGACTAGAGGAAAGAGGTCACTAGTTGAGGCCCTGAGCTTGTCCTTGTGATGGAAACCTGACAACAGCCTGCAGCTGTGATCAAGGGTGTCACATTCTTCTTCTCTCTGGAAAGCTCATAGGACTCAGGACTCATTACTGCCCTTCCCTCTTATTCAATGGGATTTATTTGAACCATCACTTTTCAACCTGGACAGAGTCCTGCTTACTTTCTATTGAGCAAAAGCGCTGAGGGTTGGGACAGAGTATTGTAGAGCACATGGGATGATCCCCTACACACTCAAGGAGCTGCTGTTAAAGCTCACGATAAAAACTCCCAGAGCTCTGTCAGAAACCATGAGGAGGAGGTGTCAGTGCTGAAGTAACTGATTTGGGGGCACACTGATTTGCAGTCTGTGCAGCCCTGTTTTGGGGTTGCCGGACAGTGACGGCTGAGGCCTAGCATCGGCAAGAGGTTCTCGGGGTGTCATTATGCACCAGGGTCCTTGAGACCACCTCAGTGATGTGCGGGGGTAAAGGTCAATTGAACAGCTGGAGAGCAGTGGAAAGGCAGGGTTCTGTGTCTTGGTGAGGGAAGGATGTTCAGCTCCTACCCGGGCATCCTTATTTACATTTCTGTTTACCTCTCTTCTTCCTTGTCTCCTTCCCATGGCAGGATTCCAGGGCTGTTGTATCTCTGCTGGTCTTTATCCATCACAAAGAGAGCAGGAGAGAGGTTATCTGATGACTAATTCCCTCTTCACACTCAGTTGTCTGGTTGTCCTTAGGAATTCTTCCTGAGGATGGGAATGTTCTGTTTTATTTCTGACCTACAGTAAGATCCCAGCCATTCATGAGGCCAAGGAGATTGACTCCATCCTGTCGTTGCAGGATTATTTGTAACACACAGTAAAAAAACAAAAACAAAAACAAAAAAAAACCATCAACTTCTGCTCAAGTCAATTCATTCTTCAGAGTTACAGAAATGCATGTCTCTCAGCTATCAGCAATCGGCTTCAAATCCCCAGGATGACTAACTGGGTAGGGTGGGATCAGCCACATGAAGATGTTTCTTTACAGTTAGTGACTCTATTCTCTGTGTATCCCCTGCTGAGATCCAACCTCCATGAGATGGTTGATTATTGTTGCTGTTTTCTGTCTTGCCATTGCTGTAGCTACAGAGCCCAAAACGCTGCCTCGCACTAAGGACAGACTCAATACATGTTTGCTAAATATGTGAGTTCACCCGCATTGGAATCCCAGGAAGAGGTAAAAATCTGAGGTCAAAATAGTATTTTTTTTTTATTTTGAATATGTTGTGTTTGAGATTCCAAGTTCATTCAATAGAAGATATTAAGTAAGAACTTTTGCCTTTGGCTAGCAGGAGAAGGATACGGATATAAAAATACAAATATATCACACATACCTCCCATGGCCCAGAGACTTGAGAGCCCAGCTGGTCTCTGCAGGTGCCAATCACAGCATCTGTTCACTCATTTATGGTCTGATTCCCATGGATCCATAGATGCTGGATCCCATGGGTTCATGTGGAGAAAGTGGAGAGGGCGTGATGGGCTTTCCCAGTCCTCCTTAAAAAGCCACAGGAAGCAAGTAGATGATGAAGCAAATTCTGGAGACAGAAATCCCTTAAGAGCAAATAAACTGCAAATAAGGGTGAGTTGGGAAAATTTCTGGCAATATTTATATAACTAAGAAGCTTTACATTAGATATCCTTCAACACAATATTCATTACAGAGCTTCCAATGAGCTATATTATCAACACAATTCAAATATTAAACTCATCAGTTCCAAGTCCCATAATAGACTTTGATGAGGAAATTCTTGAAGGAAGAAGGATGGGTTTGTGTGCTGTGTGTCCACAGAAGAGATATTTCTCCAGTAGGAGAACTGGGTAAAACCAATAAATAACCAGGAATGTAGGTGCCCATCTGGACTTTATTCTAATCCCATATGCAATGCTGTGAGTCCTGCATCTGCAAATATTAGCATTCATTGTATTTCCTCCCATTCCCCAATTTCTACAGTAAATTAACGTTAGACATGAATGATTAAAAAACAAATCAAGTAATGTGAGAGTCCTTGGAATGTGTTGCTTTAAGTCACAAGGATTATGGAACACTTCAAATGTATATATTTGTTATTTTGTGTACCAATTATCTTTTACTGCTTCATTGATCTGTTGTAAAAATCACCCAGGGAGAGAGAAAGTTGATCGGTAAAATGGGTTGAAAAATTAAACAAGATGAACCATATTAATGATGGTCAAAGTTGGCTGTCGGGTGCAAACAATTCATTAGAAAATTTTCTTTATATTTGTAAGACTCAAAAGTTTCCATGCTAACCAGTGTTTAAAATATCCTTGTTTGTGATTATTCTGCTTTTAACAGGTGTATAATGTGGACAAAATGTAAGCTTACACTTTGACTTCACATAGAAGGCCATCTTCTCCCGACAGGCACAGGAGAAGCTGGTGTGGAGAACGTGGGAAAGACAGCAGCTCAGGGTTTCCCAGGACAGAGAATGGAGTGAGCCTGGAGCCCTAAAAGCAAGGGCAGGGGCTGTGAGTTGAGCTGTGGTGGTGAGTAAGGGCCGCAGTGCAAAGGGCACGTTTCAGAAGCTACAGGATTTGGATTTTATAACAAGAATGGTGAGTTGCTGAAGGGGTTTAAGCCAGGTAGTACCTTCCCTGCCTCATCTATCTGAAAGGGATCTCTCTCCAAATACCTTGAGGAGAGAGTGCTTGAGAATAGTGAGGGATCCTTAATTCTAGAGTATTCATTAAGCACCTTGTGAGTCTAGAAATCCAGGGGCCACTTGCACAGTTAGCACAAGAGTAGACGTGGCTACATTGAGAAGTGATGGTCTCTGCCTTTGTCTCCTGAGACAGACAGTACTTTCCAGAGCAATTTGCAGGTAAAATAAATAGTGATATTTCAAATAACCTGAAAGCATCCAGTAAAAAAAAAATAAAGGTGGCAATATCAAGATATAAACAAATTGTATAACATCCAGGACAAATTGTTTACCAAAAAATAGGACACAACTGTGAAGAAAGTGACGTTTTACTTAGGGAGATAATGGCTAACTTCATTAAATAGAGAAATATGGTCACACTGCTCACTGGTAAAGGAGAGTCTACAAAATCTGTGAATGTTCCTACATCACAAAACTGAGTCAAATCTCTATAAAACATACGAAACCATTAGATATACAACTTTTGCTAAATTGCTGCCTTTAACATGTCATGGATCATTTATTTTTCCTGGAAAATTCTCATTATTCACTGTCCTTGTGAACAACCCCTAGCTGCCCTTCAACCTAGCTCCTCAGCTGACCCCTTTTTCATGATGCCCACCCTGATGGCACATGTGGGCAATTAGATGTTTCTAGAATGCCATGCCGGGGTGCTGACAGCTTTAAAAGTTATATATATATATATGGCTACGTATCCCACAGACCAAGAGTACTTCTGGGAATGAGAAATCACAGTAATAATGCACAGCATGAGAGAAACAGTCTCTAGGAATCCGACCATGGATATGTGAATACAGATAGTGACTGGAGAGCTGCGGAGACCAGCTGGGTTCTGAAGTCTCTGAGCCATGGGAAAGTGTGTGTTCTGGGATCAGCATCAGATCTTTTGGAACTGCCCTGTGGTTCCTACACAGCTTCTCGGTAAGGACCATTCACTCAAAGAAATCCAGGCCTGGGGGCTGGGCCCTGTGTTCACTGATGGAGACTCAGCAGCTGTGTCCCCTCTGGCCTGGCAGAGATCCCTGAGCAGGGACCTGTGTACGGTCTCAACAGGTGTTTCCTCCCAAGGCCTTGCAAGAAGAAAAGCAAATCTTCCTCCCGCTCAGTCTGCAGAGTGAGCTGAGCTGCACCCCCAGGGCTCAGGCAAGGGCTAGGCAGTCCCTGGGTGGAAACACATTTGCATGAGCAGCCCCTCCTCTGCAGAGGGTGGGAAGAAAAGGAGGCCTGGGGCAGCCCAGTCCCACTGCAGGGAAAGAGGCTGTGTCCACCATGGCCTGGACTCCTCTCCTCCTCCTGCTCCTCTCTCACTGCACAGGTAGGAACAGGCCTCAGAGACCAGGGCCAGCACCCAGCCTGATTCCGACTCTTCTGTCAAAGATCGCTAAAACATGTGACCCTGGTTTCTGCCTTAAAACCTATAAATGCCTGTGTTTCCAGGTTCCCTCTCCCAGCCTGTGCTGACTCAGCCAACCTCCCTCTCAGCATCTCCTGGAGCATCAGCCAGACTCACCTGCACCTTGCGCAGTGGCATCAGTGTTGGTAGTTACAGGATATACTGGTACCAGCAGAAGCCAGGGAGTCCTCGCCGGTATCTTCTGAACTACTACTCAGACTCAGATAAGCACCAGGGCTCTGGAGTCCCCAGCCGCTTCTCTGGATCCAAAGATGCTTCGGCCAATGCAGGGATTTTACTCATCTCTGGGCTCCAGCCTGAGGATGAGGCTGACTATTACTGTATGATTTGGCACGACAATGCTTCTCACAGTGACACACACAGATGGGGAAGTGGGACAAAAACCTCACCCTGATCTGGGTCTTGTTCCATAACAGTTTTTAAATTTTAAAATAACCGGCCTAGGCACAAACTACATTTGGAAGTACTTTCTAGCTGTAAAAGGCTCTTCTCTCAATTTCCCATCCATCCTTCTGAAGTCTCAGTAAAACAAAGCGAAACCAAACCACCTGATGACCCTGAAGCGTTGGCTGCGTGTCCATATGTGCTGACACCAGTGCCTGTGGAGCTGGACTATTTTTTTCTTGAAAGAAGCAAAATGAGGCTTTCCAAGCTCACAGCATGCTCAGAGCCTGGGGACATGGTAGCAGGTGAACAGTCCCCTGCAGCATGGACTCTGCTCTTCCGGCGTACAAGCAGAGACCTCCCCTTCCATCCCCAGTAGTCTGTTCTCAGGGCTGTCTGAGGCTTACTGTGTCCCAGGAACAAGCCACTCAAATATGAAATGCTGCCTGAGGATGCAGGTCAGGGAGGAATTTCGGATAGAGAGCTGACCTGGCTCAGTCCTGGGTACCTGCATTTCAGTGGAAATGTCAGGAGATGGGGTTAGGTCTGAGGGTAACTGCAGACCTGAGGCCAGTGAACCTCTATGTAGGACATGAGAGAGTCAAGGGGAGGCTCCACCATGGCTGAGACGAGGCTGAGGCTGCTCCTTGGCCACAGGGGAAGTAGGTCCCACGGATGTGACTTTCCTGCTGCTCATCCCACTCAGGACGAAAGCGACTGCTGAGGGTGGGTTTCCTGATCCCTCAGGGGCTGTGTTCTCTTCTCCTGTCTTACACCATTGCAGCTTCTCACTGAATCAGGGTCTAGTGGTGAGTCTGTGGAATATCCCAGTACAGAAACTGCACAATATGTCCTTCAAGTGACTCCTCCCAAGGAAACTCTTGAGGAGCCCCCATCTCAGTGTGACCTTTTACTGCACGGGGAGCAGCAGAAACACTGGGCATTCCCTCCCAGAAAGAGCACCTACGTTTGTGACCTAGGACAGCAGTGATGGTCCCTCAGGGGTCCCAGCCTGATTCTCCTGCTCTGGGTTTATTCACACAGCTTCCTGGACAACCCCTGGGCTCCAGTCTGAGGACAGGCTGTTTGTCACTGTCACACAGCTGCATCCTGACTCCATGTTACCAAGGGTTCCTGTTCCATGGGCAAATGAGAGAACATCTGCCCCACTCATCCTCTCTGCCCTTCCCTCCTTTATCCCTGCCTGTGACCAACACCAGATCGTGTCAAGGCTTCTGCTGTCACTTGTGTTACTGAAAGCAAAGCAAGGGTTCAGAAACAATAACTCCTTTTTTTACTGGTCTCCCAATGTAAAGAGAATCAACTTGTTTCTAGAAGCAAAAGGAGCTGCCCACACATGGTGGGTGTGGATGAGGTGGGGATGACAAGAAAGAATCCAGCCTGTGTGACCCAGAAGTCCAGGAGCCTTTGGCCTGGTCCCAAAGGTGGCCCCTCCTTTTGGTGCAGGTATGCTGGCCATTTCCTGAACTGAAACTGTTGGAGAGATGACAAGAAAGGAGAATGCAGCCTGTGTGACCCAGAGACCCAAATGTGAGAGAGGAAGTCTGATGCTTAAGAAAACGTGGGCTCCGCATTCTGAGAGGTGGCATGACCTAGAGCTGGTGTAGAAGAGAAGCAAGAGAGATGCTCAGCCTTAGGTGGCCCAGGCACAGTGGTCCTGTCAAAGGGCTGAATTCTCTGCAACATGGATATCCTGCAGAGACATCCCTGGGGAGGCTGTGATCCCAGAATGATGCAAAAATACTAATGGAAGTGAGCAGGCGATGGTTTATGGGGGAATGAGGAGATGGGTGTGGGGTCAGATGGGGTAAAGAGGGTGCAGCCTGAAGAGGAGACTGTCCATTGTGACTCATAGGAGGAGGAGGCCTGGGGCCTAAAGCAGTGACAAAAGGAGGACCAGCAAGGACCCTGAAGACACATAGGGACTGGAGTTTTGGTCTGTCTGTGAGGGTCCCTGTGGAGGATCACATAAAAAATCCATAGTCAGTGTCCTCTGCTCAGCGTTAACTGTCCCAGCAGTTGCTCCTTCTTCCCGGAGCCACTGGGTGTCCAGGTTCCTTAGCTGTTCTTCTCTCTGTCCTCAGCCTAAGAGCTGATGGAGCATCCACCAGGAAGTGCATCCGTGGGCAGGGAGGGGGCCATGGACAGCCTTGTCCTGTATGTGAGACACCACTCAGCCTCGGCGACCCCCATTCATTACAGTGGGAGGAAAGGAAAACAAAATTCCCTTTGAACATCTATGCATCACCAAAGAAAAAGCAAAGAGAAGGAAACAGGAAGCGAAGCCCAGATCTAGTAGTTCATTTCTACTTGGAAATAAATAAAACTTAATATGCCTGGTGTGTTATGTAAGCACAATAAACATTTTAAAAACTATAAAAATTATGTAAAAATCTTGGCTATCACAAAAAGGAACATTTAAAATAATGACACCCTTGAAATGCAATCCCAAAATACAGCATACGCTTTATTTCAGTTACATATATGGATTGGTTTTATTTAAATGCCTATAATAAATCTCACTATTTCGTTGTTTAAATGGAGCATTTAAAATCTCAGTGTGGCCGGGTGCGATGGCTGATGCCTGTAATCCTAGCACTTTGGGAGTCTGAGGTGAGCTGATTACAAGGTCAGGAGTTCAAGACCAGCCTGGCCAACATGGTGAAACCCCATCTCTACTAAGAAAATACAAAAATTAGCCTGGCACAGTGACATATGCCTGTAATTCCAGCTACTTGGGAGGTGGAGGCAGCAGAATTGCTTGAACCTGATAGGCGGAGGTTGCATTCAGCTGAGATGGCACCTCTGCACTCTAGCCTGGGCAACCGACCAGGATTCTGTCTCAAAAAAAAAAAAATTTTAAAAAATCTCGTTGTACAGGAACTGCCTGGTGATACATTCACCGTGTAAATATCAACATAACCATCCAGCTATTTTCCTACATCCCCATAAAATTCCCCAAACAAATATTTGTTAAGAGTCCAGGGTGTATCATGCCGAACTCATGCAGTCATAGACATCATCTATTTCATTTTTCATTTCAAACAACAGAATTATCTTTTTTCTTAAGTTTATTGTTTTTAGTTTATTAGATTCTAGATGTCATTATGGATCAAAGATGAATAATTTCTATCATCTTCAAGCCACCCCCACCACACTCACTACTGAATTTGAACCATAACTTTTCCCTGGAAATCCTAGTTGGGGGCTCGATGACAAGAGCTATCACATATCAGGCTCACCTGAGGACAGACTCTGGTCATCAAACCAAGTTAAAATTTTAATTCTTCCCATCTTCAAAGACTGAACATCTTTGCTGTTTTTGCTCGTAAGTGAGAACCTCCAAAGACATTTGCCAAGATCCCCCACAGACTGGCATTCAGTGCTTGGAGGACAGACTCCTAGGCAAGATCCCTGGTCACAGTATCCAGATGAGTGTGACTGCAAATCTGGGGAAGTAGAGGGAGAACAAAGATTTACCAGAAAAACCCTCTGAGAATCCCTCCCCAGGGCATCCTAGAGGGAAGAGCTCCCTTTCTCCTCAGAACTGTGGGATCCACAGAGGAAGGAGAGCTCTGGCCACCAGGACGGAGCCACATGAGAGGAGAGGACCCGGTGTCCCACACAGGTGGGGAAGTGAGACCACAGGGCTGGTCCCCACTCTGGGCTTGATCCTGAAATAAAAGGACTTTGTGTAGACATCACCTGAGTCCTCTACAAAGTACAGCCAAAGAACTATGGACAGATTCACTCCTGAGGTGTCCAGTAGAACGTGAAGACTGCCCTGAGGTCACAGGAAGGCGACACAGGTGCCACCTTACTAAGCCTGGACTTGAGAGAGGGGGCAGTGGACAGAATCGGGGGAGGCAGTGGTGAATCTCGGCGACTCTGGTCACCTGATCATAGAATGGTTTGCCTTAGTCTGGACACAAGGGGGCGCTTGGGGCCCATTTCTGAGAAGACTGGGGTAATCAGAGCAGAACCAGGCACCTGCCCTGCCTGATGTCCTCTGCTCAGGGCTGACAGCTGTGTCCTGTGTCCTCCCCACCCTCTGGGAGCACAAAGCTCCACCCCTGCCACCCCCTGACATCCTCAAGCCCAGGAGCCTGGCCCGGAGCTCAGGGCGGGGTCAAAAAGCTGGGGGTTCTGATTTGCATGCATGGACTCTCCCCCATTTCAGAGTATGAAGACAGGGAGAGATGTGGGGGAAGCTCAGCTTCAGCTGTGGCTAGAGAAGACAGGACTCAGGACAATCTCCACCATGGCCTGCTTCCCTCTCGTCCTCACCCTCCTCACTCACTGTGCAGGTGACAGGATATGGGACCAAGAGTGGGTCCCTGGGAAGCCCATGGGGCCCTGCTGTCTCCTCTTGTCTCCTTGTGTCTCTTGTCAATCACCATGTCTGTGTCTCTCTTGCTTCCAGGGTCCTGGGCCCAGTCTGTGCTGACTCAGCCACCCTCAGCGTCTGGGGCCCCCGGGCAGAGGGTCACCATCTCTTGTTCTGGAAGCAGTTCCAACATTGGAAGTAATTATGTATATTGGTACCAGCAGTTCCCAGGAACGGCCCCCAAACTCCTCATCTATTATAGTAATCAGCGACCCTCAGGGGTCCCTGACCGATTCTCTGGCTCCAAGTCTGGCACCTCAGCCTCCCTGGCCATCACTGGTCTCCAGTCTGAGGATGAGGCTGATTATTACTGCGCAGCATGGGATAACAGCCTGAGCGGTCCCACAGTGCTCCAGGCCCAGGGGGAAGTGAGACAAGAACCTCCTTCCTCCTCTGCCAGGAGGGTGAGCCCCCAGCAGCTGCTGCTCAGGCCTGGCCTGTGGCTTCTGCTGCTGTAGCTTCCCCCATGGGTCCAGAGGCATCCAGGGCCCTGCCTGAGAGTGGAGGCTCCTCCTCCCTTTTAGTTCTCAGAGTCAGGACCAGGGCATCCAGGAAACAGAACATCCTGCTCCCTGTAGCTTGAAACACAGGGTGTCTGCACTGAGGTCCTGGGCTGAGGTGGCAGGTCCATCTGTGTCATCACAGACTCACCTCTGATGGGAATGTGTGTCTCCATCATCCTCCTTTTCCCATTTCCCGGAGTTTCCAGAGTGGTGTCTTCCTCCCCCCACTCCCTACTGTGAATCCCTGTGCTTCCTTTCTCCCTAGCACATTCTTTTTAAATAAAATTCTTTTCATGTAGGAACAATGCACATCTAATAAACCACCCAGATTTATAATAGGAAATTAGACAAATTTTGACATTTTTCTCATCCTTGAATACATCACCAGCAACAGGGAGCTATGCAACCTGTGACCAACCCCAGCAACCCCTCATGGCCCTTTGTCATCTCCCTCCCTTCCCCAATGCT